GGTGTTACTGTAATGTGTCACAATAGAGGTGTTACTGTAATGTGTCACAATAGGGGATGTTACTGTAATGTGTCACAATAGAGAGATGTTACTGTAATGTGTCACACTAGGGAGATGTTACTGTAATGTGTCACACTAGGGAAATGTTACTGTAATGTGTCACAATAGGGAAATGTTACTGTAATGTGTCACAATAGGGAAATGTTACTGTAATGTGTCACAATAGAGAGATGTTACTGTAATGTGTCACACTAGGGAGATGTTACTGTAATATGATACAAAATGGAGATGTTACTGTAATATGATACAAAATGGAGATGTTTCTGTAATGTGTCACAATGGGGAGGTGTTTCTGTAATGTGTCACAATGGGGAGGTGTTACTGTAATGTGTAGCAATAGGGAGGTGTTACTGTAATGTGTCACAATAGGGAGGTGTTACTGTAATATGATACAATAGGGAGATGTTACTGTAATGTGTCACAATAGGGAGATGTTACTGTAATGTGTCACAATAGGGAGGTGTCACTGTAATCTGTCGCAATAGGGAGGTGTTACTGTAATGTGTCGCAATAGAGGTGTTACTGTAATGTGTCGCAATAGAGGTGTTACTGTAATGTGTCACAATAGGGGGATGTTACTGTAATGTGTCACAATAGGGGGATGTTACTGTAATGTGTCACAATAGAGAGATGTTACTGTAATGTGTCACAATAGGGAGATATTACTGTAATGTGTCACAATAGGGAGATGTTACTGTAATGTGTCACAATAGGGAGATGTAACTGTAATGTGTCACAATAGGAAGGTGTTACTGTAATGTGTCACAATAGGGAGGTGTTACTGTAATGTGTCACAATGGAGAGGTGTTACCTTAATGTGGCACAATAGGGAGGTGTTACTGTGATGTGTCACAATAGGGAGATTTCACTTTAATGTGTCACAATAGAGAGATGTTCCCATAATGTGTCACAAGAGAGAGATGTCCCCATAATGTGTCACAATAGGGAGACTTTACCATGATGTGTCACAAGAGGGCACTGTCACAGTAATGTGTCACAATAGGGAGATGTCATCATAATGTGTCACAATAGGGAGATGTCATCATAATGTGTCGAGAGAGGAAGTTGTCCCCATGATGTATCACAATAGGGAATTGACAATACAATGTGCCACAATAAAGAGTTGCTACTATGATGTCACAAAATGAGCTGTCACCATGATGTAACAAAAGGAAGATGTCACTATACTATGTCTATATGTCACTAGAAGAGGTTGTTGCTAGGGTCGTCATCACTTTAAGCCATTTTTTTTGCTTTGTTCACAGCCCGAAGACTTGAAATGGAAGTTAAACAAGTATTAGAAGAGTACTCTGAAGAAAAAGATATTAAAACCAGACTACTGCAGGGAAGAAGAGTAGAATTAGCAGAAGAACTCAGTAAGATTCTCACATTTACTCAGTCAGTGTATGTATGTGTACATCATGTGTGAGTGTGTATGCGTGTGAGTGTGTCTTTGCTTATTACATTCCTGTCAAAATTTATATTTGATACTTCAATTTTGTTTTTTCTGCAAATGTTGTATGTGACAATGTATAATGTTACAATATTATTTATCAGTATCAACCTTTTCACCACCAGACCCAAATTTTTCCGAGCCTTTTTTTTTATATTCTTCAGTAGACACAATTTGAGTCAATTTTTAATTTTTACTCAAAATATGTGGCTTATTTTTGTCCCAATCTTCTGAAGGAAAGCGCTGACTAAAAATGGGACTATTTTGTGAATTTGTGATGAAAAGAGGAAACTGGTGACGAAAAGGTTAAATGAAGATATCATGCTTTGACAAGAATTGTTGAGTGCAAGTTTATGTGTAACAGAGCTTTGAATGACTGGAGTCTATGTCTGGTGTTATTCTACTTAAAATAAGGAATGTCTTCACATTGGTAGTTTCAACATTGCCCTCAGTTGAACAATGGAATCATTCATATCAAATTGAATGTAGCTGGAATAATCATACTTTAATAACTGCTGTTTTATCTCCATGTTCCCTCAAATACCTTATCTGTTTATGTATACTTTGTTGTTTTGTAAGCAGAAATTGTATAGCTATTATCATATATCAGTGGTTTCAGCTTAGCCCCCTCTAGAGGCTTTATGGCAGAAACTTTTGTTTTTTCTTTGAGTGAATATGTATGTTAAAATGTAAAGTTTCAACAGTTAAATATCTAACAGAACAATCTTCACTTTGAAGCCTGTTTAGGTCATCAAGGTTTTCTTCTGATTGTTGAGTGTTCTCAGAATGGAAAAGTGAAGGAGTTATGATATTTGTTTGAACATATTGCTGAAAGTGATTTTTTTGTGTTAGTCATTTTACATGTGTACTCAGTACAGTTCTCTGATAAAGACAAAGGGTTCTTTAAACATCATGAAGGGAAATTATCGTAAATAGCCTTAAGGTAAATTCATTTTATTTCTTTCATTGGCAATATGCAATTTGTTACTGTTTTATCTGTCCAAGCATTAGATTGGGTTCCAGATGGTCCAGAGTTGCATGCCATTGCCACAGACTTTCTTGCATAGTTAGGTTGATTTCTATACTTACCATTGCCAATGGCTTTCTTGCATAGTTAGTTAGATAGGTATATATGCCTATCTACCATTGCCAAAGGTTTTCTTGCATAGTTAGGTAGATAGGTCTACATGCTTATCTACCATTGCCAATGGCTTTCTTGCATAGTTAGGTCTACATGCTTATTTACCATTGCCAAATGCTTTCTTGCATAGTTAGGTATATAGGTATACATGTACATCTACCATTGCCAATGGCTTTCTTTCTTAGTTAGGTAGGTAGATAGGTATACATGCTTATTTACCATTGCCAAATGCTTTCTTGCATAGTTAGGTAGATAGGTATACATGCTTATTTACCATTGCCAAATGCTTTCTTGCATAGTTAGGTATATAGGTATACATGTACATCTACCATTGCCAATGGCTTTCTTTCTTAGTTAGGTAGATAGGTATACATGCTTATTTACCATTGCCAAATGCTTTCTTGCATAGTTAGGTAGATAGGTATACATGCTTATTTACCATTGCCAAATGCTTTCTTGCATAGTTAGGTATATAGGTATACATGTACATCTACCATTGCCAATGGCTTTCTTGCATAGTTAGGTAGATAGGTAAACATGCTTACATGTATCTACCATTGCCAATGGCTTTCTTGCTTAGTTAGGTGGATAGGTATACATGTCGATCTACCATTGCCAATGGCTTTCTTACATAGTTAGGTAGATAGATATACATGCAGAATCACCATTGCCAATGGTTTTTTTGCATTGTTAGGTAGATTACTATGCATACCACTGCCATAGACTATTTTACATAGGTAGGTTTTATATACACTTTATATCTGTAAATCTATCTACTCTTTCTACCTACCAAGTATGTTCCAGAGTACATAATATTGTGGAATCAGCACTCCATGTCTTAGAAGATTTTGAGTATTATTATGTACTTATTTCATACTTAACTCATAATTTGTTCAATAGTTTCACCCCAAGTGCTTAAACTATATACAAGGAAAGTCACAAGCTTCACAACCATGTGTTGATTTTTATATACCATATTTGCTCTATTAGAAGCGCATCTCCAATAGAAACACATATAAACCAAAAATCACATTGGCTGTATATATAACATCATTCAAATATGACTTATTTTTACCGTAGTAATTTGTGTAAGTAGATGTGTATTAATAGAGCAATTATAGTAGTCACATTATACATGTGAAATCAATTCAATTCTGTGAGGCTTTTCAATTAAACACAACTGCGTACACAGTCTTCACATGCCAGGGCTTGTTGTTAACTTTTAAACTCAACTTGTACAAAATATTTTGCTTATTTATTTGCCCGGTACTAGTCTGTTAACGCAAGTTAGTTACTATACAGATACAGTTTTTCTTTTCCCAGGCTATAGGACTACCCTTAGTGTCAAGCCCTGAACTTAACCATTGCTTAGGACTATTAGACATGTCAAGGTTTTGCCCTTTTCATTGACTTTCTCAATCCAGCTGCACCAATTTAATTTTCCTATGTGTGGTTTTCACTCTTGTAAACCTCAGTCTCCAAAGGCATGTATTATTTGCAAACATCCTGTTTTCTTTTTATATCCAAGTTAATCTTGCATTTAGTTAGTATTCCCTTCAGGATGAGTTCCACAGACCCCGACACAAAACCAGAAGGCCATCTTATTGATTTCATCTTACATTGCTTTACAGTTGATTATGAGTGTATAAGCTTTAGTTGCCTTGACAACTCGCGCCATTCAAGCTAGATTAGAATTTAACTTTCCGTATCAATGATAATTTCCTTGGATAGCTGTTTCTCGATAGTCAATACAAACAATACATCATCATTTGTTTAGTTACAATGCAACAAGGCCAAGACATTGACATTTTCATTTTGTCCTGAATATGACTTTATAAGATGCAATCTTTACAACTGGCGTGTATTTGATCCTTTATTGTATTGTTTTTACCTCACTTTGTTAATCTTTTGCTTTTAGTTGGCTGTGATGATGTTGTATGTCTGGCTTAGTTTTGATATCTGAATAACAAGCAAAAAACAACTAAGTCTCAGATTATGTTACATACTGTCTTACTTATCTTTGTTAGTCTTTGTATTCATCATCAAGCACCCACTTGATTATGGTGTCTCCAATTCTGGCTGAGACTGTTTAACAGGGCAGATCAAAAAACTATGTCACCACAGTGTCACGTCACATACTACCAAACTTTTTTCACTGTGCCTGGAGGTTGTCAGGAGCATTCTGGTTTATATACAGCTTGATAGCTATGGATTATGGTCAGGGGTTTTTCTAGAAAATATGAACAAGAGGGAGCACACACAGGCGATCGACCTGGAAACGCCATATCAGAAGGTTTCTGCGCCGTTTTAATGGTGTATCTATTGCCATTGAAATAGAGTAATTTTAATGTATTTGGTGTCCAGACACATTGTCAGCTGGTGTTGCTGGGAAGTTTTCACGGAGAAAACAATTTTGTACGGCATCACAGAAGTGTGCGACTCAAGAAATATATTTATGGCTTGAAAGCTCAATGGACAATTCGGTAAGAGGGTGCCAGTTGAGAGTATCAGGGCGCTGCGCCCCTGTTCCCCTGTTTAGAAAAACCCCTGATAGTAAAAATCGTTCATTTCGGGAAGCTCACAAACAAGCAGAATTGCTATACAGCGTACACTAACCATTCGTGTGAAATAGAACACCGTTGCATCCATAAAATTAGCTTCTGAGGCACATACATTAATATACATTTATTCAATGTTATTTCAGCAATAGTTCTACTGTCAGCACTTGTACGTGATATGTACGTAATATGTATGTGCCTGCAAAAATAATATCATGGGACTATATACAGTTATTGTTCTGATTCATATACTAAAAAATAAGGCATAATATCTGCCACAATACCTCCAAGCTATCCCATCTGAACCTGAATATAGATAGTTTTGAGTATCTGTTGTTGGAAAAGCATTGTAAGTGTGAATCTGTACAATGTAATTTGTCAAGGGGCAGGACAGGTCCTCCTCCTACCCGCTAAAACTTAATCAAAGTTCTGTGCATTGACTGGTGAGCTTGTACTTGTCCTCCTTTTCATGTTGACTTTCTATAGCTGTACCTTAGACATGAAAAGGTGTAATCAGATAGAAATCTATTATGAAAGGACTACTATGTAATTGTTTCTGGGTGATTCTGGCAGTGAGCCATTAGCAGACATCTCTAGTCTATTGGGAAGGTACTCTTACACATCAACAGCCGTTCAACTCACTGATTCATAAGAAATATATTTGCCCACGGAAGCAAATAGGAAACATTTGTCAAAGCTTTCTCAGGCGTTTTTTCCAGTGATTCTTTAATTTGATTGATTAAATAGATTACAGTGGTTTTTAAAATTATATAATTAAATGCAATGTGTTACCACTTAGCAGTCACTCAACTGAACTCCTTTGGTCAATGCCGGCAGGAAATTCACATTGTGGATTCTAGGTGAGAGAACGTCAACAGTGATAATAGAAATGACTGACAGTAGAAAGAAATGCATGGTGTTGAATACAAAGTATGAAGTAGTTTTAAAGTACCTGCTAGAGTTATTTGAGTAAATAAATAAATTAATCAAACCACAAATCTTCTATGAATTCGCACTTCAAAGTAACTGGTGTTAATCACTAATTCAAAATGAAAATTAGGAATGTCATGCTTTACATCATTAATTCTCTTTTAATATTCACTTTATCACAGTTATGATAACACTCCATTTTGTTATTACTACACTTCACAGATACTGAAACTTAATTTTCACACAAGACAGTCATAAAGTCACTGCAAACACAACAAATTCACAAAATATTGTTGTTTTGTCTTATCTCCTTTTTCATTATACTC